AAAATCTACGTGTACTCAGAGGATAAAGTTTAAGAAAGACGCCATTTACTGTGAATTTGATCTACTAATGTGGAAACATACATGAACACCATGACGCTGTCTCGGTCTCAGTGAGTTGGTTATTAGAGATAGATTAGCAATACCAAAAATAGAGTTAAGTTTATGAATTTTATACAGGTGTATTTGCATTTTACTATCTGGTAACGGACGTTAAGTGATTACTTAAAGACTACCTAAAGAGGTACTTATTAAATAAATGTTTGTAACATTATGTTTTTATATTAACTGATATGACACCAATTTATTGATTATCCTAATCTAATTCTCTTTAAAACTGATAATTTATGTACCTACGGTCAACCGCACATCTATTTAAGTCAACTTTATGTAAAACCACACAACTTACAGTACCTACTTACAAATCAATTGAAAATATTGGATAGTTTTGGAACACTAACGGTAAGTTTCAACAACAGACCCAACTACAGTAAAAGGTAGGCCTACTAGAGCTTTGTTTGTTAAGCTGTAGAGTTTGTGTTTGCTTTGCCAGGATATTATGACTATGATAACGACTGGTGCTAAGTAACAGACCCAGATTGTCTTTAACTTTTACTGGAGGTTTATTATTGAAACTGGCCGTAAGAGTGCCATGGCGTAAGAGTGCCATGTGCTCTTTTTTTGTCATGTACTGTACTTTCTCGCTAGTTGTTCGTGCTTAGGGTAATAACGATAGTGAGATCTCTAAAAAAAGATCTCTTAAAATGAACTTTGGTTAAGAAGACGGCAGGGATAATCTTATTTTTTGTGGTTTTGTTTTTATGAATCGGATAGCGTTTTTCCGATATATGATGGTAGATGGTATTCTTTTGGCTGTGGAATCCCCTAAACATGGTAGTGCGATAACCACAGAACACAGAAAGAGGACCTTTTTCCGTGTTCTTTGGTGCCAACTTAAAGGTAGTAAAGCAAAGTGCGCGACACATAAGACTTCTGTTGCATTGCGGTAGGTACCTTGGCAGTGGCATTCTTTAAAACAATCCATAAAAAGTCTATCACAGTCGATTCAGTCGAGATTTATTATTTTTGTCGCGTTATTTTTATCCCTGTCAAATTCAAGAGTAATTTGACAATTGAGAGTGATAAAAACGAGCTATATATATCATATCACGGTGCTCATGCTAGGGGGGCAGGCCTGAGATCTAAATATCAAGTGCTTTCTCTTTCTTAAAAAAATCATATACTCTCTATAATAAAAGGTGATTAAGTAATTGTTTATTTATTTAACTGTTATGAACGAGAATACAAAAGTAATATCATTTTATTTTGTTTTACCACTTGTATGTGCCTCAAAAATTCATTGTTTTTGTTAAATATATAAATAAAGTTGCGATTAAGTACATTTTATCTTATTTAAACTTTTCCTTTTCCTGCAAATACATTTCAGTAACATGCAAACAGACAGTAGGTATTAGTTACCTATTATAAGTAAAAAACAAACTGGCAAAGTGAGAACGGCTATAGGGATGGATGTTAAGTATCTACATCTTTATATATATAATTCTTCTGTGAGTGTGTATGTCACTCAACTTCTATTAAACGACTGGACCGATTTTGATTAAATTTTTTGTGTGTGTTCAAGGGGATCTGAGAATGGTTTAGATTCACAATTTTGTCCGCTGGACAACCCCTATTTTTTTAGGGCGGTACGAAGTTCGCTGGGTCAGCTAGTACCTTATATTAGTACAGGGCCGCCGGCCGGCCCGAGCATTCTTGGCGCTCTAGGTAAAAGCCTGGGATGGTGCCCTTTTCAGTATTTTTATATTAAGGTCCGACAAATGACTCCTTCCCACCTGAAGTTAGGTGACGGTAGAGTCTAGATAAGAAGATAGCTGGTGCAGCAGTTTTACCTGCCACAGCATGCATCAGCAGCAGCTATCCTCACCTTATCTGTCTACAAGTTGCTTCTTCATGGCTCTTTTAAGGGACCCCGAGGTTTAAGTAGGAGGGAGGGAACACGTGATCGGGCAAAGCATTAAATTTGCGGATAGTGTGACAAATATCTTTCTTCGTATTAAAACTGTGGCCACAGTAAGGCAGTGACAACGTAGGCCAGCGCGCGGGGTTCTCTGAAGGAAGAGGAAAGGTGGAATAAGAGAGAATAACTCCTCACAATACTCGCCGTAGTAGACGATAGAAAGCGCTCAATGACGACACACACGGTGTAATCGAAAAGACTCAAACGATGTGTTTAGTCACCTCCTCATGGCAAACGCACGCCGCTATTACCTACCCAAAGCATCGAGTAAGCAATTGGCGGAGTAATCCCAAAGGTGCGAGTAATATTTCACGCAGAACCGGACTTGCGTCTTGTAAAATAAACACAGTTGCTCAGGTCTGAAAAAACGATGCACTTTCAGGACTCCCAGTTTGCGTGAGGCTGCTTTTTTCTCGCTTTCCAAGTAGTTTTTTTAATTTATTTCACCAGCGAACTTCCATGCAGTACATGGTCTGTAGCGTTAGATTGTGCCCTAAAGAGTAGGCTTTTGTGCCAGACCCTGTCGAAAACCTTCGCCACGGTAATAATATATAATATTAACGTGCATTCGCGATATCAAGGCCCAATATATAGATACCTAGAAGAACACCCGACTATCGTTTCGGTCTAAAGTCATATCTAGGATCATTAATCAGAGAGTGATCCACTGGGTAGCTGGTCAGATGGTTGTTAAGGCATTACCACAATACTGAGGTGACTGCTATTGGTAATTAGTGACAAACAAACAAAAAATAATTTCTAATACAATAAATAGACTACTTCGTGAAGGATGCTCCGTAACATATCGTATCGTCAATATTTATATGACAACAAAGCAGCGCCTCTATCGGACGTAAGAACAAACTAGCTTTTTCCATACAAAATTTGACGAAGACCATTTTGCCGAAAATCGCGATTTACTGTTTTCCGCCCTTAAAAGGTCGAAAAGCGTGACGGCGCATTTGCATTTTCTGTAAAAAAAAACAGTAATGAAAAATGAAAATGAAAATATTTTTTTCATACCATCAGAAAGAAGAGGTTACAAAGAACAAAAAGCACAGCAAACTTATTTAAAAATCAAAGGACAATGTTAAAATTGGCCTAAGAACCAACACCAATTTGGCATTTATGATAATTCTTAGTATATTTTTTGCGATAATTATCAGTATTTAGATTGTGACGGACACTTCCAGTTAAGTAAGCTAAATTAAAAAGTTAAAAAATAATCTGACACAATAAATACCATTTTATTATGTGTATAATCTATGGCAGCGCTGCAAACAAAACACTTTTTCTTCCTAATGCCGGCACTTCACTTGGCTATTTGTAGTTGCTATTTTAAAACATTACATCAGTCTGTCCTTTTCATTCCTTATTAAGCATGACAAGGACAAACTGTTGTCAAGTGAAGGGTCGGCATAATACTCGTTACTCTGCGGTTGTGGTGCATACAGTTTGCATTCGTAGTAATCTGTGGCATTCGTGCATTCCAAACAGTAGTATTATTATACTATTATTATACCGGAAAGTGCATTGTTGTTTGTGTTTATTTGCGATTTTTTTCCTTTAATTTAACTATTTCGGCTATCTAATATGCCATCGATGTTACCAAAGAGCAGAGCTCTTATTACCAAGTGCTAGTGAACCTGAGCCACAACATCCTGAGAGGATCATACTGCCAAATTATTCAAGAACACCTGATACACATTCACGCTGCATATTTACACTATATACATGTGTAAACAAATAAATACAATAAACAATATGATACAATTATGTGAAAAATATTCAATAAATAAGAAGCAAAACTACATTTTATTTGTTTTATTCATGCATGATTCCTACCTAACCAAGTCTTTCCTTCCTAATAGTTATTCTTTAAAATCGCACCGAATAAAATGAATTAGTTGTAATATTAATTCACTTCATACTAAATTCATAGGTTGACCTATGTTTCATTGAATATTAAATATAACCTCAAAAAATTTTTAGTTTTCCTAATAATTTAAGTTCTCAGAAGTGTCCGTCAATAATCTTTGTTTTTACAGTCATTTACTTACGATTTTGAACCTAGAAAATAGTATTTCATGATTGTTGGTTTTTAAGCTAGCTATGTATGGACGCTGAACAATGTCCTTTATTACCCGAGTTTTGGCGATTGAAAATAAGGAAATTTGTTCGATAATTAAGTATAATATCAATGGTGAAAAATCGAAAAAATAAAGCGTGTTTAGGACATACAAAGGTAAGTTTTCACCAAATTTGGTGCGATTTTTTTTATTGGAGATAATAATAAATAACCAAGAAGTCGGACCGGATTTAGAATTTTTGCAGATATTTGTAGGTTATGTGAAAAAAATGCAAATACAAAAGTTGTACTCTTCGATTGTTGATCTTTTGCTATAATTATTTTGCCATAAGTCAATTTTTATTGATAGAATTTGTAGATTTCCGCAAATCGCTTTAACCGTTTTGTTTTTATAGAATTTGTAGTTTTTCTGCAAATCGCATTAACCGTTAGCTTTCCCGATCTCAAATAATTTCTTACGTCTGGTAGTGGCGCTGCTTTCACTTTTCATAGAACCTTAGAGGATAGACGATGCGATACGTTTACGGAGCTGTTGAGCGGAGTTCTTGCATGGACCTCAGTAACAGGGTACTTAGTTGTTTTTTTATAGAATATGTATTTATATTGGCGCTATAACAGCAAATAGTTAAACTAAACGAAAAATTAAAAATACATGAAACGTTGCCATAGCTATTTCCAAAATGGTATGTTTTGCAATGGCTGTATTGCAGATGTTAATGACCTTGTACAATGGTACGGACAAGTCTTTCAGGAATTTCGAAATATTACGAATTACGAAGTTCAGTACGAATTAAGAAGAAACAGCACGTCTTTATATAAGAATATAAAAAATAATAATACTTACGATATAGCAAGTTCGGAAATCAATTAGTCATACCGACAGATACGATGTGCATTGTAATACACCTTATAGGTAGCCCTTGACACGAAAACAAAAAGTTTATATTTAATGCAGTCGGAGGAACTTTACCAGTGAGATGGCTCGTTTCAATTTAAAAGTTTTAAGTGAATTTTACTTAATATTACACGTTTATACTATCACATTCAGTAGATGCCAGTTAGCTAGAGAATTGATTCTTCAGGGATTCCCCCGGCAACAATTAGAAAATTGTAAGTAGCGTTTTGTTGATTGACAAATAAAAAAAATAGAAAACCTGCCAAGTGCGAGTCGGATTCGCGCACGAAGGGTTCCGTACTATTATCTATACAACATTAGACACTGTCATAATATCGAGCAAAAAAATGGTTGCCTGTAAAGTCGGTTTTACGGGCGAAGATTTTACGTGACAACGTCTTTTTCTCGGTAGAATATTTATTGATATGAATATAATTAAATTGCACAATAGGAACAAGGAATTGAATGAAAATAAGAATTGCACAAATTTTAACTATAGAAATATATTTTGTTTACTAAAACATTGTACATGTAAACTTAAACTCATCGTAACGTTACCGAGCGTTACACTTTTTCATAAGTGACTCCCAGCCGCAACCTAATTTAAGACGTTGTCACGTCAAAAAACACGTTTCTTGTATGAGGTCCCTTATATCTAATCTAATAATAAAATTCTCGTGTCACGGTGTGCGTAATTGAACTCCTCCGAAACGGCTCGAACAGACCGAATTTCGTGAAATTTTATATGTGTGAAGGGTGGTACCACGGGGTGGTACACCATTAAATTTTTTTAGACAAAATTTTTTGCTTTTTTTATGATACATCATACAAAAATACATACAACCCTAAATTTTCACCCTTCTACCACCCATATTTCTCTATGGCGATACGAAGTTCGCTGGCTCAGTATTTATTATAATAAGTATGTTGCTATAGCGGCAACAAAAATACATCTGCGAAAATGTGTACAATAGCTATCACGGTTCATGAGATACAGCCTGGTGACAGACAAACAGACAGATAGACAGACGGATAGTGGAGTCTTAGTAATCGGATCCCATTTTTTATTTTTTGGGTACGGAACCTTGAAAACCTACACCGACAGAAGACAGGATCGAGAAAGGATCCATGAACATTTTGAGTTCTGAAGCTGCACCTTGACTCCGTGAGCGAGTGACGAGAGTAATCACCCGTTGAATTCGCACACTCGTTTATAGTCCAGCGATAAAACCTTCTAGCTCTTCTCCGTCATCGTCGGTGGTAGGCCAGGTGCCTTAGCCCCCAGTTTTATATTTACTCCATAATTTGATTGTAGGGGTGTGTCTCGTAGAAGGTGAAAGTTCAGGACGCACCGATGTCATCGGTGGGCCGGACTCTGACGGTTCCTACGATCACGGTCTCTTCCAAATCAACGACCGATACTGGTGTGATCACAATCGCCCTGGGAAGGGATGCAACGTGCTATGCGCAGGTACTATTCGACGAAAAACTTCTTTTACTTAATTAACAACATGCTTTTGGATGTGGATCAACTGCTATGTCACGTAGATGGTAATCTAGTTTTTTTAAATTATGATGATGAGACAAACTACTTTTCTGGACGGCTAAGGCAACATTGCATTTCATCTGAATGCAATACATTTTTAGGGTTCCGTACCTCAAAACAAAAAAAAACGGAACCATTAAAGGATTACTTTGCTGTCCGTTTATCCGTCGGTCGTCGTCGGTTTTACTTTAAGATAGGAGGACCTGTATTTGAAACACCAATGTTAACAATAAATTCTATGTTGTACGTGGCAAGAATGCTTGCGAAAAAATCTCAAAGCTGTCCATCAGATGATGGCCATGAAACTAATGTGTGCTATTGTCGCGAATCACGATGTATTATGGTGTAATACAGCAGCTGGAATCCTTCTCAGTAGAACACTCTCCGAGGTGAATAGAAAGAGCATACTGGTAGAGCGTTGCTACATCTATAGCTAAAAAGGAAACAGCTGATCAGATATATCGTCGACAATAGATGCATTCTAGAGAAAGAAGTTGTAACTGGCGTGACCCCGAACAAAGGTGAAACAGTACTCCATGCGGAGCCGAAACTAGTATATATAAAGTTGAAATGGATAAGTCGGTGCGAAGTATTCAATCTATTGAATACACCACAAGCTTCGAGGTCAATTTAATGTTTTCATGACCCTTACTGAATCTCTATGTCAAATCCAATATGTACTACGATAAATTGTATTGTGGGTGTGTATCCTATCTTTCTAGGATAACATTAGACTAAAGTAGGTATAAAATTAAGTATGTCCCAATAAGAAAGTTTTTCTTAGAGTATTCATTTCAGAGACATGTTTGTCGTTGTCGTCGAATGTCGGCCGTATAGTAGGCTTCGTTAGGTACCTTTGCATGAGATCCTACTAATATTATAAATGCGTTAGTGTTTGTCTATGGATGTTTCTGACTATTCCACACTATAACAGCTGCACTAATTTGGATGAAATTTAGCCTAGAGTTTGATTACTGAAACTGGCCGATAGAATATTCTTTTATAGCAAATTTAAAAAATGTTTTCACAGATCTCCGATTGGATAACATATCGATTGCGTCTCAGTGTGCTAAAGAAATCTACAAGCAAAGTGGTTTTGATGCTTGGGTTGCTTGGAGGCGCGAATGCAGAGGGGAACTGCCAAATCTTCATCGCTGTGGATTCTGATCAAAATCAACAATAAATATACTACTACGTATTTGTTTCTTAGGTTTTCACGCACATCACTCATTAAATAAAACTAGTTTTTACGGGTTAATGCACGAAACTTTATTTATTTATTGACGTTTCGTCGTCTTTATTAAATAAAACTTAATAAAACTTTTATTCTGACGACGAAGCCTGTAAAGGCTACGAAACGTCAATAAATAAATAAAGTTTCGTGCATTAACCCGTAAAAACTAGTTTTATTTATTTATACTACTACGTACAAAATTTTGGTTTTAGTAAATTTATCCCCAATTAATTACCTACACAGTTACCTTCCTAAAGTAGTAAATAATATTTATGCCAAAATAATATAAAGTAATGCAAAATAATATAAAATTTAACAAGCCCAGACAACCCACAACAATTATTATGTCGCGGATTAAGCAGAGCTTAAAACTATGTCTCAAATATAAGTAGATACTTTAATAAATTTAAATACAAACAACCATGACTCGGAAACTAACACAGAAGTATCAGAAAAAAAATACTATTTTTATGCTATAGACAAATATATTTTTATACAAAAAGTATGCAATGTTTAATTATAACAAGAATTCATCAATCACAAAAACTAATTTTAGTATTTGTGATTTTTCCAATTTGTTTTTACTACTGCAAATTATTCTTAAATACTGCTCATACATTCAGAATGAAGGCTACTTTGTATATTATTTCATATAAGAACATAATATACCTATACTTGAGATACAATACTCGTAAATTCTCGTTTAATACATATTATAGGTAATACTCAAATCTGATCAATTAAATAATACTTATTCTTATAACAACCGTTCGTAAAATGTATGTATAATAAAATAAGTGTAAAAAATCAAAATATTACAAGTTTTGATTTTTTACACTTTTTATACAAAGAGATTATACAAAACATTTTTTTACACTTATTATACTTTTTCACCGCACAGTTTTCCAAACTCATATTATACTTTCCAAAATCCTGAATATTTATGAAATGTAATACGTTCTTAACCACAGCCTTACTCGGTACAATTAAGCCAACTCAATAGTGCACAAACATTATTGGCAAAAACATCTCTACATAGGTTCCATTGGAATACTTCGCACTATGTTATTTGTGGTAATTGGCTGACCAAATAGGTAAGAAGTGTAATATCATAATCTTCTTCTGATATTTGGAACACATGAAAATCCTTATATTTTGCAAACTCTTATTTGGCAATCTCGTAAATTGTAAAAGAAACGGCCAACGTGCCACACACCGGGAGAGGCGCGGCGACTCCGAGCGCGGCCAAGAGCCACGGAGCGGAGACACATTGTGATAGCAGCTTAAATAAATAAATATAAAATATTTTATGCTTGGGTAAACGGCAAAATTTGGAGGGTTTCCAAAAATCGATATTTTGGGTTTTTTAATATTTAATAGTTTTGGTGTCGATATTATCGATATTACCTATCGACTTTTCAATGTATAGTTGCAATTGCAACCCTAGCACGATATGTTAGATCGCATTACAATGGCCGAAACGGACTTTTGAAACGCGACGCCACGCGAAACGTGTTGAGCCAAATCAAATGTACCATTTTCTATGATCAGAATCACATTAGGAACATCCTACGCGACGCGATGCACACACACTGACCATATAGAAAATACGCGTCGCGTGGTATCGCGTTTCAAAAATCTGTTTCGGCCTTTATTTCGTTGGCTCTACTGTGGTATCTATTAAATAATCTTACAGAGATAAATTATTATTATTCAATATTTTTTATAACCATGTTATATTTATAATGAGAAACTACATCAGTACAATGTACACAATTAGATATTGTCATATTCACATGCAAAAAATAAAACTGATAAATATTGCATACAACTGAAACAGCATGAACTGTGTGAACTTGATACTCATGACAATTAATTTTAAAATATAAATAAGTACATCAGTATGTACATTTAAACGCCAAGCTAATAAAAAAATAATGTAAAAATAATACTTTGAATTATAGATAAATGAAAGTTTTTGCCTGAACTTTACTTTTGTATAGGGATAATAATTCAATCGATTTTCAACTTAAGATATACCGCGTTAAATTCAATATTATTTGGAGTAAGTAATATTGTACAGATGGTGTAGATACTAATTTGTATAGCAATATTTGCAGAACATAATGGAAATCAGCGGGATAGTTCGTAAATAATGGTGAAAAGACTTTTGCATATAATAAGTTTATCCCCTTTAAAGACCTTATATATTTTTTGCAACAGTTAACTTACAATAACACTTATGGCCTGCGCAGACGAAGGACTTTGCCAGCGATTTTTTTTTTGTTCATCACAATAGATCGCTTACAACTTGCAAAAGGGATTAGGGATTAAGTCCCCCGAACAATCGGAAAACGCGGGTGTTGCCGAAAAAAAAGAACTCATGGGACTATGCGCGGCAATTCACAGCTAACTATAGACCGCATTGCGAGCTCGATCCGATTTGAAGAAATGGACCCAGTACTCACTTTTAAAATTTCTTCTCTTTTTCTTAAAATTAATTACAACACAACGTAATCTGATAATATCGACTTCCATAGCGTGCGCTTCTCTAAAATCTCGGGCAACAAATGTTCGCACACCGTGTGCGTTGAGTCCGGGGCAAGTTCTCGGCGAACATTTTTTCACAGTTCAGGGAATTTTGTCCACCGCGGATAGGGTTACCATTTAGGAATTTCAAAAGTCCTGACAAAAATCCTGACATTTCGAAAAAAGTCCGGACTTCTTAGTCACAAAATGGTACCATTACTCATTTAGTTACAAGCAATGGTATGATATTTAAACCGATATGTACTTTTATTGTTCATATTCAATGTAATTTTACAAATCCGGACATAGTCCGGACTAAAGTCAAAAATCCGGACATGTCCGGACGGATGGTAACCCTAACCGCGGGCAAGAGTCCCTCGTCTGCGCAGGCCCCTAAAATTTCAAATTCACAAAACAGCCTAACAAGCTACAGATAATAAATATCACTTAAACATTGTCTTTGTTTTTTAAGTAACCACCTTTTCTACCATCATTACAGTCACAGAACACAGAAAAAGGTTAGGAGGGGCTTGTGGGTAGGGCAGGCGCGCCGCAGTTATGTGTGAGCAAATGCTCATAACTTGACCAAAACTTGGTTCTGTTTGCGTCGTTGCTCTCGGGTATGGGCGCTGATTGGTTCTATTGTTTGATGTCACGTCGTTTGATTGGGTATTATCTATTAGGTGGAAGTGTAGTGGGGGTGAGCCGGAGACATCGGTTCCCGTACAAATGGTCTATGATCACCCTTATTTCTAACCTCTTTCTGTGTTCTCTGATTACATGTAGATATAAAGTTTTGAGAAAAAGATAAAGTATTCAGATCTCAAAATTTGTCATGCGTTTACGAATATGCTAATAGATATATAAACTAATTTATCTTTTAATAAATAAATAACTTATAGCAAATCCAATCATCACAGCAATATTTTTCTTTCAAGTTTCTAATATCATAGAGCTCCTCCAGATGTGTATTTCCATTTCCGCCTCTGCCCTAGCTACACGTATTACATACAAGCGTGGATAATACATAGTAATAAATAATATTGATAAAAGTATTATAATATTTGTTTCTTAGGTTTTCACGCACATGACTGATTAAATAAAACTAGTTTTAACGGGTTAATGCACGAAACTTTATTTATTTATTGACGTTTCGTAGCCTTTTCAGGACTGCATCGTCAGAATGATGATCTTTTATTTAATTTTAAATTAAATAAACCATAATTCTGATTCATAAAAAATAATCTCAATTAATTTTAAATTAAGGCTGCGAAACGTTAATAAATAAATAAAGTTTCGTGCATTAATGCATTAAAACTAGTTTTCTTTAAAAGTATTATAAAATAAACAAAAGTGAATAAATTACAGTAGAGCCTCGATAATCCGTACTCAGGCTAATCCGAACGTCGCTATAATCCGAACTGCATACCCCACCCCACTTCCTCGCCTTCGCCTCGCTGCTATGTTGTTTATTAATTAGTCTGCAGCTACGACTGCCACGTTGCGCGTCCATTCCACGTTTTTCTGCTCTGTACTCGTGCGCGGCGTGTTTTTTGAGGTTATAAAGATGGTTCCAACACCAAAACGCAAACATAAAACTTTGACTATAGCCGAAAAGTGCACCATACTAGACAGTTTAAAGGACGGAGTGTCGGCAACTTCTCTTGCTTGTAAGTATGGCGTTGGAAAATCAACAATTACAGACCTCAAGAAAAATGAGCAAAAATTGAGATCTTTTATAGCTAAAACTGAGAAAGGACCAGGGTTCAGAAAATCTCTAAAATTACCAGAGAATCCAGTGCTAGAAGAAGCACTGTTCACATGGTTTTTAGAACAAAGACGACGCCACATTCCATTGTCTGGTGAGGTCGTAATGGAAAAAGCGAGATTCTTCCATAAAAAACTAACAGGTTCGGATTTTTCTGCAAGTAGAGGATGGCTTGATAATTTTAAAAAACGTCATGGCATACGTCAGATGAAAGTGTCAGGTGAGAAAGTCTCTAGCAATACGGAAACTGTTCAACCATTGCAAGAAAAATTCCTAAACGAGATAAAATATAAGAACCTTTGCCCTGAACAAATTTACAATGCCGACGAATCAGGATTGTTTTGGAAGGTTCTGCCGGACAAAACTTTAGCCTCTTCTGCTGAAACTAGCGCTCCTGGGTCGAAAGTGTCTAAAGAGCGAATAACTTTTATGCCTTGCGCAAACTCTACAGGGAATCACAAATTACCATTGCTAGTTGTGGGGAAGGCAAAAAAGCCAAGATCTTTTGGATCTGTAAAATTACCAGTGCATTATGAAGGGCAGAGGCGTGCTTAACCAGAGATATTTTTCTCGAGTGGTTTAGAGGCCATTTTGTTCCTGAAGTCAAACGCCATTTAAAAAAAATGGGACTGCCACAAAAACCATTGCTACTCTTAGACAATGCCCCTGGACATCCAAATGCTGAAGATTTGACAACAGAAGACGGCAACTTCTCTGTACTGTACATGCCTCCAAATTGTACGCCTTTGATCCAACCTATGGATCAAAACGTAATCCAAAATGTCAAGATAAATTACAAAAAGAAACTCCTGATTCAAATGTTCGTGCAGCAAGAAGCCGATGAGGCTTTAACCTTGCATGATGTTATAAAAAGCGTCACAATTAAAGACGCCATTTTTTCGCTAGCGCAATGTTGGGATCATGTATCATCGTCTCTTATCGAAAAATCTTGGAAGCCTCTTTGGCCTGAAAAAATAAATTCAACAGAAGATAGATCAGAAGAAAATGATGACTTCGACGTAGAAGAAGATCTCCCGCTCAGTCTTTTACGTAATCGTGGTTATACAGAAGAAACCATTTCCACTTTCTTGTCCATGAGTGAAGAGGAGAATTGCACAGATCCTATAACTGATGATGAGATCATAACCCAAATAACGCAAGAGAATGACGAGTCTTTAGCTGAAGATTATTTTGCTTCAAATGTCAAGAAAATTACTCATTCACAAGCCATATCATCTTTGAACACTTGCTTGGAGTGGGCTGAAGAAAATGACCTGTCCTTATCGGAAAAGATGATGCTACGTAACTTGAGGGACAAAGCTTTTTTCTGGTCCATCAACAGGACTCGCCAAACTAAAATAGATCAGTTTATGACTAAATAGACAATTTACACCTTACGTATTTTATGGTACCTAATTATTATGTGAATGTACGGTAAGCAACGAGCCGGGCTTTTTATTTGCATTACGACTGTAGTCCTTACGCTGCTTGTAATAAGAGCGTTCCCAAGGTTCGTTCTCTTAAACTATGTATATAATTAAACACTATTTTAATAATAAAAAATGATTTTTTTTCTCCTTACATACTATAATCCGAACGCTTCGTGAGTCCGAACAGGGGTTAGTTTTTGCTAGTTCGGATCATCAAGGCTCTACTGTACTATTAAAATAGCATTTACACACTTTAAAATGGCTTAGGTATTTGACATAATAGTCAACTTCTTTGCTGTTTCAGAGATTCTAATAGAGAGTCATACATAATACTTTTTTACTTAGACATTAATTACGTGAACAAGCTGTCTCGAAGCTCTTGGTCTTGTTAACTGATGCCTCTACAGCATTAATCAATGTTGATCTGAAATAAAATATAAACATTATTAACATTTGAGTCACATCATGTCTTACAGCAAAGTCTATACATATAGATTATAGATTGTATTGATGTGGTATCAACATCTCAGCTAAAACATGCAACCATTAAGATTTTAGCACACAGTGTACAGATCCAGCAGTCTTATATTATTCTTTATGGTGAGGCATAAAACCAGTGCTGTAGAGGTATATTTTAGAAAAAACTAATTTAACTAGTTTCTAGTTTACAGAAAAAGTCCAGAATGGTTGGGTGTGTGACCACACTTTACACTGTAGCATAAATCATTATTTCATGTATTGTGCTTTTCAAACAGAACAGTAATAAACTAAAAAAGAAGCTTTTACCTAATTTTTCCATCTTCAAGCACACTTATTCCACAAATTGTAGTGCCACCAGGTGAACACACTTCATCTTTGAGTTGAGCAGGATGTTTCCCAGAGCCAAGCACTAAATGTGCACTTCCCATAACCATTTGAGCCGCAAAACGTAAAGCCAAATCTCTTGGTACACCCTGTTTTACAGCACCATCAGCTAATGCTTCTATGATGATGAAAATCTGAAATTTTTGGTTTACTTTAATTATGTCCTCCTCAACCAAATCTGTTTACAAGCACATTTTTTGCAGTATATAATAATTAAATTATGTACATACTTTTAAAAGTGGTCTTATCTAATAGTCATCAAAGCAGCTCTCATTAAACACATTTTTATTTTAGTTGCATTGCAAGTTATAGTTTAATTAATAAAAAAAAACGAGGTTCAAACTACCCAACCTCAACATTGACAGATATTACTAGGCCATCTTTCATCATCATCTACTCTAAATCATAAACTATATATTATTATTTAAGGTTTGGGTTTTTGTAGAAACTTACATAAGCTGGACCACAGGCTGTCAACACACCCAAATTATTCATCAAGGGCTCTGGTACTTCTTCACAATGACCACAGAATTTGAGTAATTTTGTTACTTGAAGTTTTTGCTCATCATTGACCCCATCACCACATGTGATCAAGCATGCACCGGAACCCGTTGCCATAGGAACATTAGGCATGATTCTTACTACTTTGGTGCCATTTAGAAGTTTGTACATTTTGATTACCTGAAAATGAACATAGTATATTTAATTAACAACTTATTGCTACTATAATTGTAATATAAATGACTAGATATAGGGAGAAATAATTTCATGTCTTTTGCTAACTCAATTACAAATTTGCGTCACTGTGAGACCTTCTGCTGTACAGACCATCTGAGAGTTGGACATTTTGCTAATTATACTTACTGCTTTGTTAGATATTTCGTGCTGTTGGACATTTTGCTACTTAGACCAACTTTTTAAATATAAAAATGTGTGAGTCATAATATTAAAATATACTAAACAAACCTGCTGTAATTTTTCAATAGTGACTCCAGCCAACATAGAAATAATAAGCACATTGTTCCTACTAACACCTTCTGGCAGTGTCTCAACAATACCCCTCAAAGATTTCTCCAATAAGAAAGGTTTTACACCTAGAAAAACATAATCACATCTGCTAAAAATGTCTCCATTTTTATTTGTGATGTTTGCTCCTTTATCTTGCCAGTGTTTAAGATTTTCAAGACGAGGGCCAGAAACCCAAATATTTGCAGCAGGGTGTCCATCTGAAAATATTAAAGATGAAATTCAAGGAATGATATTAAATGCAATTAACAAAACGCTTCTGGTTGTGGTGCGAGATAGATGTAAATTTTTCAGACATTGGCAGTCGTTAGACGCACCAGTGCCTTATAGTGTTAGGTGTTTATAGTAACGAAACAAGAATAATGTTAATTTAAGGTAGTAATATAGCATTATGCTTATTGTTACTAACATTATTGACAACCTCCATGGCCGAGTAGTTTGTATGCCAGGTTTCATGGTGTCGCCGACTCGAGAGGTCCTGGGTTCGAATCCCAGTGGGGGCAGATGTTTATGTGATGAATAAGAACATTTATACTCCAGTCATGGATGTATAATATGTATTTCTATATAAATATAATTATAAATGTACAGTATTATGTATTCTATCTGTTACCCTAGTAACCCATAACACAAGCCTTACAGTGCTTACTTTGGTGCTAGGCTAATTGCTGTGAGTGTTGAAATTTTGATTTATTTATTTTATTATGGATGATTAATCTGAAATAAATATTTGATAATAAATAATTTACAAAAATTGATTGGCCCTATCTATTCATCTTCACAGCCTTGTCCTGAGTGGAAGTGTCAATCGCCGAGTAATTTTGTCAACAATCGCCGATTGTTACAATAATTTTACTGGAAAATTGTCGAAAGAATAAATTAAATTAAATTATACTAAATATAACGTAAATTCTGAAGATGGCAAGACATCGTTTTTTTCTCACTGAACACAGTTCATTGCTTGGAAAGCTGCCTTATTTGTATTATTTTTTTGTATGAGTTGTTCATAAATATAGGTACGCATATTAATGTTTATTCCTTCGAATATATTTTTTCTTAATACTCTAAGATAACTTCAGATGGAATCCAAAACCCTATTCTATTATTCGTTTTTGTTTACCTTTATTTATAATCCCACTAACTATAGCTGTAGACATATTTCCACCGCCAATAAATCCCAAATTGAACGCCATGGTGTTGCAATTTGTTTCTTTCCTTCCCTATTGCACTGAGCAAGTAATTTATTCCTACTGATTGAAGCTAAAGAACTGTACCTAGTGTTCTATAAAAATATTTTAACGCGAAATTAAACCACAATGCAAAAAGCCGCACAAAATCAGCAACCACGCAACCACCCACAACAACCCACAACCAGCGCCACAGACCCTTCCACAGACTACACCACAGTTTTTTTTTAACGGCTAGGGATATTCGATATACATCGATGCATCGAAAACATCGATGGTTGCAATGAAAAACATCGAATCGATCCGATGTTTTGAAAAGCTTTCAATATACTCGATGCTCGATAAAAAAACATCGAATTGGTAATACAGTTTGACCACGTAGTGATAATATCCTCTTTTTGGTTTAACCTCAGTAAAGAAAAACTTAAGTTTGACCACTAAAATTTTACTTATTACTGTTATGAAAGCATTCCGAATTCTCTGATATGGCTCCGATGTTGGCAGCACTGCGCAAGAGTCAGTGCAGTGACAATAAAAAATAACTACGAGTTTCTATAAACATAGAAACTCAAACCAAAAGTTATTAAATATTTATACACATAAACATTTAATAACCTTTGGTTTTGTGAAACAAACTAAGATTGAAGTACATATATTTCTAATATTCTATTGACAGAAAGCAAAAATTTTTTAAATTTAAGAAAAAGTACTCAATGTTTGAAATACATCGATGTTTTCATCCGATACATCTATTGACATCGATGTATAGTTGCGATGTATCGAATCAAAAAATAAATCGTTTTTTTTTCAGAGTGGACACCCCTATTAACGGCCGTGAGTTTCTCCATTTCGGCCCACAGACTACTAAATACAACAAGGGTTGTAACCTTGCAACAAAATAATTAGAAACCGATAATGTCATAAAATATCAAAATTAAAGAATAAATCGATTTTAATGGATTTTTAGTTGAAAGAAAGACAATATGATTGATAAGATTATGTATTTATAATTTAAGAAGATACGTAGATCTATTCGCTTACTGCTTTTGACAGATGGAAGTGATTATCACGTGATCCACTACTGCTTTAACATACGGCCACTAAGATAATTGTTCTGAAAAGTATCAATGGATATGCAATTTTCTCTTAAGGTACACACTGTGAATGTCAAAAATGATATCAGCTCATTTCTTAATTCCAAAACTTTCTCAGTTACTTTTGATTGAAATATGGTACACTTTTCCTTTGGTACCTAAGATTTCCAATCCAAGAGATGGTAATCTTTAGGTGATAGTACAGCATTAAGGAGTTTGTTTGCTGCAGGACACTCTACAGGACTCCACTTCTCTGCAATTTACAGCCGATGCAGCATTTTTGGGCTGATATCAATGGTCTCAATGAATAACATGTTAATCAAATTTCAGATAGTCTTGTCAGTATTATGAGTATATCTAACAACTAAATATAAAATTAAAAAAATTGTGTGTGTCAGCTCCGACGCACGACCGGAGTTTACACTCTAAAAACGATTGTCTTTGAACAGACACAAAACAAAATCAAGTCCGAAGAAGTCGGTTACAAGTAGAGATACACCAAAAACTAATAAAAGCGTATTAAAAAAAAATTACATCAAGGCGTGATAATTTTCAGAATTTTTATAATAAATAAATTATATAATATGAAAAAAGTATTTTTTATTTAAATTCACATTCATAGCTTTTTAAAATTGCAACATGGAAATTTTTAATATAACTTTTTTACTATAATTTATCAATTTGAGAGCTGTTGATGGGTAAATTTGAAAGGGTTTTGCTTATAAATAAGTGGAAATTTTCAAAAAAATCGCTTCGTACGTCCGTAAATAATAGAATTATCTACCGACGTCCGAAGCGCTGTTTTTTTGAAAATTTTTATTAATTTATGAGAAAAGCGGTTTTCATTTGCTCAAAAGAGAACAAGAGAGAAAAAAGACTAAACCGTTCTTAAGAAATATTGTTTTACGTCAAATGTCCGCTAATCATTTATTATAGAATTCACGATTTTATTTTGTCGATCGATTCTTTTCAATAGATATCAATTCAATCGATTCTATCGTTGAAATATAACTATACTTCTTTATTGTCTTGGTTGATTGACGCTGGCTACACACAAGTATACACACACACAACTGAAAAGTGAAAGGTGCGCAGATGAGGTTGCGCACAAAAACGTAACGAGGTCACTTGTTCAGTAGATTTTACTCCTCATATTTTTTTCATACCGGGGGCCATCTATGCTAGGACGTCAACAAAATCGAAAACAAACGTTCGGACGCACCACGTAGGGAATAACCTGAATCTAAATTTATATTATAAAACCATGATTTCTAATAGATTTTATGATAAAAATAATAATTATCGTGATTGTATTATACGAGAATAATAATAATATTTCCAACAATCACACCAATTAGCCTAGCCCCAAAGTAAGCACTGGAAGGCTTGTATTATGGGATACTAGGGTAACGGATGCAATACATATAGTACTGTACATATTTATGTATATTTATCCATACGTATATTTATGTATATATATATCCATGACTGGAGTACAAATGCTCGTATTCATTACACAAACATCTGCCCCCACCGGGATACGAGCCAGGGACCTCTCGAGTTGACGACAACCATGAAACCCGGCGCACAAACCACTCAGCCACGGATGTGGTCTAAAATGTAGTAACACATCCTTAAAGACTCCAGAAAAGTTGTGATGGTAATTGTCTAGAGAAATATACATACCTACATGGGCGTAGCCAGGTACGGGCAGGGGGGGGCAGCTGCCCCCCCCTAGATCGAGGAGCTTCGGAACCAAAAATTAAATAATAAATAATCCAAAAACTAAATATAAAATTTAAAAAAATTATAGAATCGCACATCACTCTCATTAGTCTCGCTACTAAAGCTCTGATTTCGATAGGACTACTCGTAAACAGAGAAGTGATTTCGTACGTACCTACGTTAAACATTTCTTGGACGTAAAATGATGGATATAAGGATTTTTTTAAAGTGTGCAGTCTGTATAATGTTACTGTGTGTACAACTAACAAGTATTAAGGTATTCTTAAAAATATAATTTTGCCGGGCCATGTATCGTAGCCACACATTGCCGGGCAACTATGGCCCGTTTAGAACACAGGTTTAGAAGCATCATAAAAATAAGTTATTCGAAAATTAGTTTTTTACTAGCTAGAACAAGTCCTAAAAGATCATAAAATGACATCTATTCTCATTAATTGTATGTGAGACGAAATTCTTAACAATCCATGTTTCACCGTGCGGGTGCCGAGTCCATCGTGTGACAGAGAGAGAAACTCTGAGCAGTTCCCGGGCCTTGCCATCCGGTGTAGGTTTAAGGAGGCCTCCTTTGAGATACGCATCAACGCTCACCTTCACTGCTTGAGTTGCCCGCCCTTCCTAGCCAAACTTGATAGGAGTCTGTTAGTGCAGCCTTAGTTACTCGTTCCAAAATTAAACTTACTGCAGTTCTCGATAGGCCGAGGTCTTTTAGAAGGTTATAGAAAAATTTTGCCGGTATACCTCTCGCTCCTACTTCTACCGCATGTAAATTAACTAGATAGCCATTTTTGGTTAGTTCGTTGGTAAGATCGTAATATTTATTCAATTTTATTGTGAGGTATTTTGGAATATCTCGGACGACCTCCGTGGCCGAGTGGTTTGTACGCCGGGTTTTATGGTGTCGCCGATTCGAGAGGTCCCGGGTTCGAATCCCGGTGGGGGCAGATATTTGTGTCGCGAATACGAGCATTTGTACTCCAGTCATGCATGTTTAATATGTATTTCTATATAAATATACTTATATATGTACAGTATATGTATTCTATCCGTTACCCTAGCATCCCATAACACAAGCCTTACAGTGCTTACTTTGGGGCTAGGCGAATTGGTGTGTGTGTTGGAAAAAAAATGTTAGTACGATACAGTAAGCTCTATTAGTACTTTACTTATGTTTGATGTGCCTAAAAAGAGGAATACGTCCGGTCTGGATGACGATGAGACACCAGCATCATCTGGTACATTGTAGTGATTTTCATACGTATCTTTTAAAATAGTCTAGTCAGGTTCAGTATCTAGGATTGAAAAAGGCTTGCTTTTCGAGTTTACAGTAGAGCCTTTCTTTATATAGTTAATTTGTTTTTTATTTGTGGTTAATCCTTTTTGAATTCTCATTTCAGTGCACAAGAGTGGCAGGTTGCTTGCTTTTTCTCGCGCTTTGTTTTCTGAGTCTGAATCTGAATCTGAATCAGGAGTGCAATCTGGCCGTAGGGTGCGGCCAGAGTGCACTCAGATTCAGACTCAGATTCAGATTTCGAAAACAAGCGCGAGAAATAAACAGTGTAGTCTAAGCAGGTTGCTTGCTTTTTCTCGCGCTTTGTTTTCTGAGTCTGAATCTGAATCTGAATCAGGAGTGCAATCTGGCCGTACCCTTCGACTACACTGTTTATTTCTCGCGCTTGTTTTCAGAATCTGAATCTGACTCTGAATCTGAGTGCACTCTGGCCGCACCCGTACCCTTCGACTACACTGTTTATTTCTCGCGCTTGTTTTCAGAATCTGAATCTGACTCTGAATCTGAGTGCACTCTGGCCGCACCCTAAGGCATGACGGCTAATGTTGCCAATAGCCATATGCAATTTTCATTTGATGTAATTGGGTAGCAAATCGATTAAACCTTAACGATTAAAGGAGCGGAATATGGATAGTTGGTACTTGGATATGTGGTAGTTGCAGATGGGAAAAAATAAGGAAACGATATGAACAAGGAAAAAACGTAGGTTGGATGCAATACTCTGAGTGCAATTTTTCACTCAACTTCCGTTCTAAGCTTCGCAAACATTTGACTTTCATTCAACAGATTTATTGGGTTGGTTGAAGGTTTATTTAGCTCACTCATTTAAAATACCTGGATATTTCTGGATGGCTTAGGAATATAATCGAATCTCTATATGAATATTCAAGTAGGTACATACCTTGTTCATACCCATGATAAAATTAATCTGTATTAAACTTTTTATTTAACCTCTAAAGAATTTCGAGAAATTAATATGACGGTATTTCATGAATAAAATTTGTTAGAAACATTGGTATTTTAGTTGCCATGTGAAGTCAATATAAGCCGGTTTAATAAGTTTTCTTGAGATGCATCGGTTCTTTTGTAAAATATAATCTGACCACACTGACTGATTTGGAGAAAATTCATTTTTTATAATTATAGTTTGGCAACATTGACAGTTTGTGGCTTCGTTTTCTTGGGTGAGGTGCGGTTAACAAATTTTGGAATATTTTGGTTCAAAACGCACTGTAAAATGCTGATTTAGTGCTAAACCTTAGAGAAGTGTTCAAATATGTGTCGTTACAGTGATTTATTAAATTATAGTTTGTTTGAAGTGTAGTGTCCAACATGTTTCGATGTATACCTTTGTTCAAATGTAATCGCCAAGTGGAATGTGTAGACAAGCGGCATTGCTCGTTGCCAAACGTACCTGAAGACATATTGCGATACTCCAGAAGCTTGGAGGAACTCTTTTTGGATGCTAATCATATACGTGATTTGCCGAAGGTAATGTTTGTGCTAACCTAGTAGTGATAATATCATTAGGTACGTGTATCACATTTTACCGTGGGCGTTCACCTTATCATTGAAGGTGTAAATAACATCATCGCGTTTCTTTTACATCTGCTAATTTTATATTTTAGATAATATTAATTTCGCTTAATTCTGTTGTAATTCATTATTTTTGAATGGGTGTTTACAATCAGTACATAGTGTTTATACTTTAGTATCATGCTTACTCATTTAATCTTTCTTTTGGTCTCAATTTTATCACCCATCCACACATTCTAGTGTGAAAATTCCAATTACCCATTTTAAAATTCCACAATTAACCTTAATTTTATATTTGTAGCTGTTTTTTTATGTTAAATAACTACCTTTCTAAGAACAGTCAAATTAATTTATCAACAGGTAATATTGAAATCGTCACATAATTCTTCTTCATTTAGTCTTATATTAACTTTAAAAGCACCATAGTATTCATATGTGTATGTGAAACATAAAGAGATGAGATGTATTTGTTTTGATGCAAAATACCACAAAGGCATTTCTAACTCATTATGCAAACCTAAAAAATAAATAACATTCACTGTGAAAAGATACTCTCCAGTGTAATCAACCTGTTGCTTCATATAAATGCAAATTCAATGTAATTTGGTTTATTTTCTGTTAGTATTTTTTTTTGTGAATATACAAAAGGCCAGTTTTTTCAAGGTAAATAATTCTTCTTGGTGAACAATCAAAGATTATTTGATTAAAATTGCTTGTTGATATGATTTTACTTTTTCAGAATAGGTATATATTAGCAAACTATTCATCAATTAATAATTTGCAATATTAATATTCACAAACTAATATGATTGTCGTTCGCCTGTTTCCTTTGATAGTAGGCATAATAAATTGGGCAATTTGTGTTAACAAATCAGTAATTTAAAGAAATATTGTAAATAAAGGTGAATGCACTGACTATTATGCTACTGTGGCCCTGACGGAATTGTCGAATTTTCTCTAGCCTCTTAAGCTACAAGGCAGCGCCATTTCTTTGCATTATAGGCAACACACAATGTCAAATGAATACCTTTACAAGTATTAAACATTTGAAAGAAGAATAGCAATAATATTTCTGTCTAATCTATAATTATCTTTAGATTTAAACATCTAGCAGTTTCATGTTTAATAATAACAAATATAAATCAGTGATTTGATTTATTAGGAAATATAAACCATTTCCTCTTATTCATTAGTTCATTGGTTTGAGTTAAGCTTACTCTTGGTGAGTTTTTGAGAAACTAAATAACCCTATTACATACACCACTTCACTGGCTGTCCGACACCCTGCCAGCCTCTATTTCATAAAGTGAACAGTTGACATTTTCAGTGCCTACTTCTATTGCCACCACATCATACAAACAAGATTTGTGTGTCTAGTGCTTTTTGCTCTATCTTTATAATCATTATAATTAGAATTTACAATGGTATGGCTTATGTAGTTGGTGTAGTGCTGACTCTCACTTGGCTAGTTTTTTTTTTGAATTTTTATGGTCAGGTTGAAACACTATACTAAAAAGTTATATGCTATATACAGTAGAACGTCGATTAGCCAATTTAATTGGGACCGGGGTCGATTCGATAATCGAAAATACTGCTAATTGGACTTAGCCTAGTAATAAAGAAAAAGGAACTGTCACACATAGAATAAGCTTTATTAAGTGTAACAAACACAGTTCTACAATACTAGATACAATAATAGAGAGAGAAAAACAAAAATAAGAATAGTAAAACTTGTAGTGTCTTGCCTCTAGCTTTCAACCATAACAGTTGAAATATATCTGGACTCCAGCGAGTTCCAACTTGTTAGAACAAAACAAAACAAAAATGACTTGGTTTTAATTTTTAATGTTATGCTTAAGACTAGATTTGCTTACTCAACGTTCGGATAATTGGTGTTCTACTGTTTTATTTTTTCTGTCACTTCAGTACTTTAGAAGAAAACAAGTATAAGTATCCAAAAATTTTAACACTTTCTATGGCTTTGTTACAGAACTTCTTCAGACTTCATCGATTAAGAAGATTAGGTCTTAGTGACAATGAAATTCACAAACTGCCACCGGATATACAGAACTTCGAAAACTTGGTTGAACTAGATGTATCACGAAATGGTAAGTTATAATTTAAGTTCAAGTATTTCTTAGGGTACATATAGTAATCTGTTTTACAGGTCTGTTATTTGATGGCATATGTAGTTGTATGAGCGAGTTCATACACAATACAGTATTCCGGAGTGCAGTGTGCTACACCCAGCCGACAATGTGAAATTTACCTTCAGTAGTGTTGGATCCGTTAAATCGTTCCTGTAAATGCTGTGTGAATATAGGCTCCAGTAGTGACAGATCTGTTAAAAATTATTCTGTGAAAATGGATGTTCTATGTATAAACTCTCTTACTCATCACCTTTCCTCTTAATTAATATTATAGACATCTTTAACATTGCTCTGATCTTCATGCTCAAGTAGGTACTATAAATATTATGAGAACCAATGATGCCTAGTAGGTACCTAGTAGTGCACAGCATTCGATTGTAAATCACAATCATAATTATATTTGAATGCCGTAAATACAACTATCTGGGGAAGGTACCCCCACTTCACAATAAATAAATAATAAATATTTTCAACATTCACACCAATTAGCCTAGCCCCAAAGTAAGCACTGTAAGGCTTGTGTTATGGGATGCTAGGGTAACGGATAGAATACATATACTGTACATATATAAGTATATTTATATAGAAAATACATATTAAACATCCACGACTGGAGTACAAATGCTCGTATTCATCACACAAACATCTCCCCCCACCGGGATTCGAACCCGGGACCTCTCGAGTCGGCGACACCATGAAACCTGGCGTACAAACCACTCGGCCACGGAGGTCGTCTATAGTCACAATAGATGCAGCTAAACTAAACTATTTTGTATTATGTAATTATAACTCCATTAGATGCTCTACCTTTTTACTAGTTAAAAAGATTTGAGATACTATGATGATCAATTACTATTTGAATTTCTTTTACTAAAGGTCCTTTAGAAAAAGAAATTTAATAAAAGCCGTGGTGGGTACTTTTACTGCTTAGATATTCATTAGGCCATGGGCTTCTCATTCATCGAGGTATAAATAAATCACTACAATTTCGTGTTTATTAACGTTACCAGGATAAATCAGACTCCATTGTATAAATGAAGAACAGAATGCAGATTGAGTCATTATGCCTTAATCACCTGACACTTAATTAGTTTCACTATTAGAGTTGTATTCTCATGATGTTATTATAGTTTACGGATAGTTTGACGTATCTACCTACCGCTAAAACTGGATAGGTACATTCCACTGTCTTTTAAATTTTCCCAAAAAGGCCGTCCTACCGTACAGGCATCACAGGTACAACTTTTGTATGCATGGTGCGTGCCGAATTGTCGATACATCATTTATTGCATAGTTTGGCGTACGTTGCAGGTGCGGTTTTAATGTATGAGAATTAAAATGAAAAAAGGACGAGTAGAGTAGTTCCATGAGGCAGTGGTAAGTGCGTTTGGTCCGCGGTCGTGCAAGTTAGGCATGTTTAGTAATGGCCAGTCATAGAATAGGTCACCAAAAGGAGATTGCTCAGCTGCCATACATGTTTGGCCTAAAGACCAATAATCATCAAAAATTGTTTCCTAGATTCGAAATTATATAAAAATTACTGTAGAAACGAATATTATTGACGGACACCCCTGAGAACTTCTATAAACCATATACACTGAATATATTAAAATAATAAAAAACAAATAAGTTATATAGTAAACTAGGGAAATCAAGCCAAGTACCGAAATTATGGATTAGATTCAGGTATATAGAGCATGTAGATTAACAGATAGTTGCCTGTTTTTAAAGTTAATGCATAAGAGTAACTTTTAAAATCAGGTGTCATTTCCGGTTATAATAAGGTACTCTGTGACAGAAACTGTGTGATGATTGTGAATGAGCCACAGATTAGAGAGAATTTTTAAACTCTCGTTAACCAAAGAAAGCTAAGAGATTTAGGTTCTATAGCCATATATTCAGTAGCTTCATTATTTTTGTTATGTTTTTAAGATAACTATATTTTAGATTTTTAGTGTATCACACCTTATAATTTTATTTATTTATTAATTTATAGTCAGGCAACGTAGGCCCAAAGATAGATACCTTAAAGTCTAACATATATACAGCTTATAATGTGTTTATAGAGGTATTTGGCGAAAAATGTATGGCAATAGACTTTATGATGTTGCCTACCATCTATTTATTTAGGCCAATTTGAGCAATCTCCTTTTACTTTCTCTCGAGCTCCTCAGTGGTTCGGTAGGCACGTTTTACCGTGGGTCTCTGCTTCATTTGCACCCTCCAATCCACACTGGGTCCGCGTTATTGGTCAATCTCCCTGTTTATTTTATAGGGATGGCCTGTGCCCAGCAATGGGGACATAAAGGCTGATGATAATAATGAATAATACTATCTATGTCGCTTTTAACGATCTAATTGGCATCAGAGCGCAAGTAAGCAAATGACTGCTTCAGACCGAGTTCCTTTGCGTCTTGCGAATTATTAAATAACAAGGTTTTGCTAGTAATTATTTATCTTGGCAAAGAATTTGTAACCCCCGAAGATTTTTATGCAAATGCTTTTACCTCGGCATGCGTAAGGCCGTATACAGAAAGAAAGCCGAAAGCCGATCGGCGCTTATCGGCACCTATTGGCGCTGATCCGAATAATAAATAATTTGTATTTGAATTATTATCCTTAGATTCTCTTATCTATTAGATTTATCTTTTTATAAATCTAATAACTTTATCTTTTATTAACTAAGCGCTAAAATTATTTGTTTCGTACTTACCGAATGGTGACAACAAGTCTTTCTTCTGGAAGGATTGGTTGTTTATGCCAATTGCACCAATTTTTCATCAAACGGTTTTTCACTAAATCCAAAATGTAATAAAATGTTTCTTGAATCATTCTTGTATATGTATAAAATCTTTGTTCATCAAATTTCAATTTTTTTACAAATAAATGATGGTATTCTCCGAAACGTTTCCTTTCTCTATTTATAAGATGTATAGCTGTTTTTCGCATTTTTAAATAAACATTTTCTAATAAAACCAAATCATCGTCCGATGAGTCCGACATTATGCTTGATCTGTTTTAATCGGCTTCCTTTTATGTAGGAAGGATCGGCGCCGATAATCAAGCAAAATGTCGGACTCATCGGACGATGATTTGGTTTTGTTAGAAAATGTTTATTTAAAAATGCGAAAAACAGCTATACATCCTATAGAAAAAGGATCAGCGCCAATAGGCGCCGATAAGCGCCGATCGGCTTTCGGCTTTCTTTCTGTATACGGCCTTAGGTATAGTCTCGGCAAGTACTCTTTTCATCTAAATCTAGAAGACTGCAAACCTAATAATTAGTAATTATTAATTGCCATATTTTTTTCAGTGGTTATTAACCTTTTAGTTACGAAAGCCATTTGTCAAATTTCCATTTTGCCACGGACCACCACTTACTATATGCACACCCTCCCCCCAAAGATTTGTAAATCAATCGGCGTTCTTTGTTATGTAATATTATTTTATGACTTCGCGAATCATTTCGGATGCTTCCAGGGGCCACCAGTGGTCCGCGCACCTCCGGTTAAGAACCACTGCTCTAGATAGATGGATTGCATTTCAGCGGCATTCCGACTGCAAAATTGCACTACAAATGCTGTTTGCACGGCTGCAATGAAACCTCACTCGTGCTGACAACTACACTGACTGCATTCGGATTGCACGGGTACTTGGCAGTCTCATTGAGTACGAGTAAAAGAATAATATGTCTAACACAATCAAAAGTCTGTACATCCAGAAGAGAGAGGTGTATTCCTTCTTTTCAAACCCTTGTCGTCTTGTATGGTATACTATACATGATGTACTTGCTTAAAAGTTAAGGGTGATTTCCTAAAACAAACTGATGTAAGGTGACCAGGTCATATGGCCGCTTTTAGCCTAAGTAGAAAAACATTTTCCCATAATTTGACAACTTCGCTGAGAGGCTTATAGGTCGGTATGACGACGCTTCATTCGATGGTTTGCTTGTGTATGAGAATGATTTGAGAAATATATATTCTTATGTTTTTATTTATTTTTAAGCATTTAACTGCTAGATGTTTAAATCTAAAGAAAGTTTACTAGAAAAAAATCCACGCGGACCAGGCAGCGGACGGGACTCGAACCCGCACCCTTCGCTATCCGGGCGAATGCACTGACCATTATGCTACCACGGCCCTTTTCGCCGCGTCGAAATTTTCCTAGCCTTAAACTGCAAGGCAGCGCCATCTCTTCGCATTGTAGGTAATCCACAATGTCAAATGAATACTTTATCAAGTATTAAACATTTGAAAGAAGAAATAGCAATTATAGTTATGTTTTTATTTATTTTTAATCATTTAACTGCTAGATGTTTAAATCTAAAGAAAGTTTACTAGAAAAAATAAAAACATAACTATAATTGCTATTTCTTCTTTCAAATGTTTAATACTTGAAAAAGTATTCATTTGACATTGTGGATTACCTACAATGCGAATAGATGGCTCTGCCTTGCAGCTTAAGGCTAGGAAAATTTCGACGCGGCGAAAAGGGCCGTGGTAGCATAATGGTCAGTGCATTCGCCCGGATAGCGAAGGGTGCGGGTTCGAGTCCCGTCCGCTGCCTGGTCCGCGTGGATTTTTTTCTAGTAAACTTTCTTTAGATTTAAACATCTAGCAGTTAAATGCTTAAAAATAAAAAAAACATAAATATAATTGCTATTTCTTCTTTCAAATGTTTAATACTTGAAAAAGTATTCATTTGACATTGTGGATTACCTACAATGCGAAGAGATGGCGCTGCCTTGCAGCTTAAGGCTAGGAAAATTTCGACGCGGCGAAAAGGGCCGTGGTAGCATAATGGTCAGTGCATTCGCCCGGATAGCGAAGGGTGCGGGTTCGAGTCCCGTCCGCTGCCTGGTCCGCGTGGATTTTTTTCTACTAATCTTTCTTTAGATTTAAAGATATATATTCTATAACGCTGGTGCATGATAATTTCTAAATACAGTGTTGAACAGA